CGCTCTCTTTCTCTCTCTCAAATAAATAAGAGAGAGAGCAGGAGTGGGAGAGGGAGAGAGAGAATTTCAAGCTGACTCCCCTCTGAGCACGGAGCCAGACTCAGGGCTCCATCTTACAACCCTGAGATCATGACCTGAGCCGAAATCAAGAGTTGGACACTTAACCGACTGACCCAGCCAGGCACCCCAAAATTGTTATTCTTAATTTTCTACTAAGTCTCTGAAATTTAGTCTGCACCTTACTCTTAAAGCACACTTAATTTCAAACTAGCTACATTTCAAGTGATCAATAACCACAATGGCTAGTGGCTACCACTCTGGACAAAGAACTATAGCATTTAAAACTGAAAATGGCCTTAAAATGCTCTATTTTGATTACATCAAACTTAAATAATTTTTTCTTAACCACAATTTATTATACATTGCTATAACATGACTGCTTATATAATAGGAGTATAAAAACATAATAACCTAACAAGTAGATGTACAATCAGAATTAAATTTACGAATCTTGGAGGTTTCAATCTGAATCAGTAATGACAGCTAACATTTATTAAGCATTTACTCTGTGCTAGGCACTATGCCAAGTATTTTAACACATGGTGGAAGGTACTTCTGTTATCTCCATTTCATAGAAGAGGGAACTGAGGCTGAGAAAGTTTAATTAACTTGGGCAAGATCACAGCATGCAAGTTGTAAAGTCAAAATTATTTGAATTCTCATTCTGGCTGGCTCTTGGAGCCGGTGATCCTAGCCTCCAAACTCTACACCTCCCTAAAATGTATCCAAAAACCTGCAGAATTCAGTAATTTTCATATATAAAACTATGAGAGAGAGAAACAGAGAAAGAGCAAAAGAAACTAATCGAATCCAAATATCCCCTGCTTGTCTTCAATTTAACAATTTGCTGACTATTGGGTGCCGTACCCTTTGGGAATATGAAGGTTTCACTTGCCCCTGGTTGGCATGCTCTGACTGTAACAGACAGCTTCAGACAGGGGTTTGAAAGTCTTGATAAAAAGCAGCTGAAGAAATGTAAACAGTTCAGCGTTTTATTTTCAGCAAACAACTTTTCTCAACAGTTCTCATCTCTTTTGCTGGCTCTTATCTAAGCAACAAATAGCATCAATATTAGAAAGAGTTAGAAATCTTATTTATCAGTCCAATGCCTATTAACTATCCTTAATCCATCAATGTACTATTTTATTCTGCATAATTGGGAGGGAGACTAACAGAAAATATACAAATACACTTTCTACACACACAGTGTGATGCATACATCCATATCACATGTAGCTGTCTGAGGTCTATTCCTTATTAATCCTAAAATCTGTCTAATTAATAATAGCTGATAATTATTGAGTACTATACAGACACCATGCCATGAGAATTTACAAATATTATCCTAACTTTTACAATACCCCTATGAAGAAGTGTTATTCCCCTTTTACAAATGAAAAAACAAAGCCAACTTTTTTCATTGTACCAAGTTAACTATTAATACAAACACCTGTAAAGAATACCATCACCTCATATCTGTATACAGTTATAGATTATAATATTTTCATTTATATTATTTAAACTGACCCTCATAATAAGTTGTGATACAGAGAGCACATGTGCTTACAACTACCAGGACAAGTAGTTGAGGTTCTTTTGGAGTCCTGGGGCAACTTTTAAAAATTTACAGATTGCTCATTTGGGAGAATCTTATTTTATTTACACTCAGCATCCAATAAACCAGAAATGACAGACAAGACCAAATTCTACTCCAGCTGAGAGAAGCTTTCACAGAGTTTTTAAAAGCCTAACTTCTCCAACCACTCCCATTAACATGAAAACCCATAAAACCAAGAGCAGTACCTGAAGAAGATTCTGATGCTCTCTTGTTAAGGAGTCTTGCCTCCTGTATTATGATAAATAGGTCATGACCAGGCTGTGCAGTACCTTCTGACGAACAACAAAAATCCCAAATTACCAGAGCACCTTGGTGGCTCAGTCAATTAAGCACCAACTCTTGATTTTGGCTCAGGTCATGACCTCAGGGTTTGTGAGATCGAGCCCCAAGCCCCATGTGGGGCTCTGCACTCAGCGGGAAGTCTGCTTGAAGATTCTCTCCATCTGCCCCTCTCCCTACTCCCTCTCTCTCTAAAATAATCTTAAAAAAAAAAAAAACTAAAACTAAATTACCTAGATTTCATGTCCTAGTTGAGAGAAACTTCAAGTCTTCCATTTTCCCAACCTCACCCTTTTTCACAAGGGGTTGTAAATGCTCTGAGCAAATATGCCCCCAGAATTTAATAGAGGTAGGGTCAGGTCTAATAAGCTGAAGTGAAAGGTATCAGGAGCTGGTTGTTCACAGTTAACTGGGCCAAAGCAATGACAGCTAATCGGGAGTGAACAAAACTTAAGGTTTTCCACCCCTCCATTTCATTTCCAATTATAACTTAATGTCAGAACTGTTGTGATTAATATCATACCTTAACAGCCATTATTATTCCATTTTATAGATGATAAATCGAGGCTTAGAGACATTAAGTGCTCACTCAAGTGCACATAAGTAGTAAGAGACCAAATACCCAAATTCACTCAAGTTCAAGGTTCTTTACCTTCCAACATCTAATCTCCTTGGGAAATAAACCTATATTCCTGTGGGCTGCCATTATACAATATCCGAGCTATTTTCTTATGGGGAGATAATACTCATAAAACAAACAGGACTCTCCCCATGGCAAATGGGTTTCTAAGTGCCATAAATTCCCAAAAGGCTGAGCATTAGGAACTCTCCAAACTGGCAGGCCTGCTGTTGAAAATGCAGTTCCCACTTTGGAGGCTTCCTGGACACCAGAACTGGTCTCAGTTGTCAGGATGGCTGATAATCACCCCAAGTTTACAGAAATTTCTCCCATTTGGGGATCTCTTTATTCCTTACCCTTAAAAATCTCCTTCCCTTTTGACTGGAAACTTACAATATTAAAATAAGGGTAGGCTGACATTTCATATTCTAGCAGTTGATGTCATCATTAACTTGTTTTATTTATAACCTGAAATAATAAGTTTATGCTTTGCCTCACCAAAAACACAAGCTCCCTACCTTGACATATCTGTAGACTTACGTTGGAATTTCTATTATTTAATAATTATTAAACAAATATACGTAATCTACAGAGTCATTGCCAATAAAACACATACCACAGATTTTTAAAAAGTAACTGGAGATCAGGCCATACCTAAGCAAGCCTCTAGACAGGTCATCTTATTTCCCTGGTAACCTAGTCATAAAATGGTTTTGGTAAGTAATTCCCAAAATCTTAATAATTTTGAGTGAGGAAAAAGACTCCACAGAATCCAGACATGACCACCGCTGACCTAAATGAATAAATATCAAGCAAAAAAAAAAAAAAGAACTACCCCAAATTAATCTACATAACGGTCTATCTTTAAAGAAATAATGTGTCATAAGAACAACAAATTGTCACATCTAAGAAACATCAATTCTACAAAGATAGGTCTGTAGACCTCTTGTCGAGAACGCATCACTGACACAGCTAAAACTTTCTAAGGGAGTTTTCTCCACCAATTCGTTAGAATCCTTTAAAAGATCTTGGCTGGCAATCACAATTGCATAGCGATCCCGGGGTCTCAGCCCAGAGATTCTGGACCCACTGGCCTGGATTCTAACATACAGCTAAAGCTTAAAATCATTCACTTAAAAGCAAATGTTTTAAGTAAATTTCCAGAGAGCAGAACTTCAGGATAGCCAATAGGAAATTAAATTCCCTACGGGCTGCCCGAAGTGTAGTACTCTCTCACCTAATGTGGAACCTCCTTCCTACCACTGTTCTTTAGAGGCAAAAATGAATTCTTTTCTTCACTATCACCCTTAGCTCAAAACACTGGACTCGGTAGGGGCTCAAGAGAAGTGCCCTTTGATTTAAACACTGATTTCTCCGATTTGGGCAGCTCCAGTAGTAAAGGAAGATTGGGTGTATTGTTCATGCTATTGAAATCAGGTCTCTGGGCCCCTCAGTACCGGTAGGAACCCATAAACATTTAGATCAGCTCTGCAAACCAGTGTTGCTTTAGGGAGGGGTTCTCTCTCCCAACTCCTCCCGATCATTGAAAGAATGGGACCCCAAAACAAGGAATTCAAGGAATAGTCTCGGATCCTGGGTGGGGAGGGGCTGGAGGCACATGCGCTACGTGGACAACTCCCGAAGACCCTGGGCTGGGGAGGGGACGGGAGGGGAGGGGAGGCCTGGCGGGAGAGCCCAGGGCTGAGCAACACCTCTGCCGGACAAGCCGAAGGTGTGAGTCACTGGTGAGCACCGCGGGAGGAAGGGGCGGCTTGAGTCATAGTCCTGGGGGAGGTCGGAGGGTCTGACAGATGAAGAAGCCTGTGAACCCGGGAGTGGAATTTAAGTGGGAAGTGGGCTTCAAAGGAGCTCCTCCCAGGGGAGTGGGGGTTTAGGGTTCCAGAGACCTAGGGGGCTGGAGCTGGGGGGCACTCCTCGGGCCGCGGGGAGGGGCTAGCAGGCGGCAGAGGAAGAGGCCGGACAGCCCGCGGCGCCGAAATCTCCCGCGCTCTGAAGCTAGCCCCACCTCCCCAGCCGGACCTCACGCCCCTCGGCGCGGCGCGGCGCGGCGCGGCCTGCCAGCCAGCCCCTCCCACCACCTTCCCGACGTCACCCCAGGCCCCAGCTGGCCGGCAAAGTCCCCGCCCCACCTCGCCCGCGACTAGCCGGGCTGCCCGCCGCGAGTCGCCAGTGACGGCACTGCAGGGTGCGTGGCCAATCGGCGCGGCCCCGGAGGAGGCGGCCTCGGCCCCGCCTCCCGCGCCCAGAGCCAATGAGAAGCTGGCACAGGGGGCCGCGGCGGGGTGAGGGGTCGCGAGGCCCCGCCCCATCCTCCCCTTTCCCCTTTGCCCCGCCCTTTCCCGCCCGGCCCCCCCTCCCCAGCCCCGCGCCGCCGCTGGTGCAGGTCCCCGCGCTGGGCCCGCCCCCACCCCTCCCGCCGGCCCGCCAGCGCGCCTCACGGCTCCTGTCTCCCCTCCCTCCTTCTCTCTCACACGCCTAGCGCAATGGCGGCGGCCGCGGCGGAGCAGCAACAGTTCTACCTGCTCCTGGGAAACCTGCTCAGCCCCGACAATGTGGTCCGGAAACAGGCAGAGGTAACCGAGCTCTCCACCCCCGACTGCGCGCCCGGGTCGGCGCGCAGCCCTTCCCCCGACGCCGC